GGGTACAATCAACATGATCAAATGTAGCTTGACTGATGTAACCTATTGTAATACTGAGTGATGGAAAATTTGCTTTATATTAACAAGGGGTACAGTCAGGGCCAGATTAAGAGTTCAGAGGCCCCTGGGCATAATGTCTTGTAGGCCCCCTCTTAAGCAGGCCAAATGTATATTTGTCCAAGGACATTTTAATATGGCATTTACAGTTTTACTGACTTAATGACTTAAAATTAACTTTGTTGAACTTTGCTGGAGTAAAGTTCATAAATGGTTGTTCTTTCCTATAGTCAAGTCATAGGAATTTGTAAAACTATGTTGGGTGGACCCTTAATATAGCATTTATAGTTTTACTGATTTACTGTTCCTCTAGGGGAGTTCGGGGGCATTTTGTACATTTTAAGGTTAAATGCATCAATCTCGTGCTCTTTGAGAGATCAAAATTAAGAGCTTCAACACATGAACTGCTCGTTGAACAAAGAAAACCGATTGATTTGTACCAGGACAATAAACAGGGCTCAAACATATTTTTAGTTGAGTCTCAGTCTACATTACATTATCAATGGAGTTTTAGGATCGCAAAGAATTATAATAATAATGTAAAAATGATTTATATAATTATATGACGTAAAATCCATATAGCCTATAAATGTACTAGTATATAAATGAAAATGATTATTTCAAAAGCATATAGTCTACATTACACTATAATATAGGAAAATTTAAATACTTTTGTCCTTATTTCTTCACTTGCAAGAAATAAACCCTTGAGCCTGTATTTAGGAGAAAAGACGATCCTGATCGCGTTAGCAAAGTGCACACTTTTCTTTAATTCACCCAGGACTGATGCCTATTCTTAAAGTCTTGTGCTGTTTTATAAACGCAAAAACAGGCACTTAATGCAAACATATGCTCTGTTTTATCAAACCGTCCTTCGCAGCCTCGAAACACTACCGGCCCACCGGGGAAACTCCCGACTCTCCCGATTGCCGCTCCGCCGCTGGTGCCCAGGGCCCCTTAGATGTCGTGGGCCCCTGGGCATGTGCCCAGTTGGCCCAATGGTTAATCCGGCCCTGGGTACAGTATCACTGTTACACTGTTGAGAGCCCTGTTTTATACCTTAACATTTCTATGTACTTGATCACATTGTTTGTTTGCCACTATTATTGAAGTTAAGTGCTGATTTAAGTCAACTTTATAAGATAATGTACATACAGAATCAGAGACGCTAAAATAGCATATTGCCGTACCATCTTCCTCCTCCGCATCCTGGCTCTCCTCATTTGTAGATGCCTCCCCAGTCCTTAGCTCAGCAGCTTCCTCTCCTGCTTCTTGGTAAAGTATACCCATGGTGACTGCTAACATTGCACGGTCCGTCTTTGACCTAACAGTTATTTAACCTGAATAATTTTTTCTTCTCCAAACAAAAGACTGCTTGAACGACAACCGCCTACCGTTTACCAGCGTTTTTCCCGCCGTTGGCTAGTGATGTAAACAAACAACAGTAGAATGACAGGCGTTGCTTTATTGTTATGAATATATGAAGAGTTCAGATGCAAAAGCCTCTAAATGCCATTTGAAATTTTCTTCTTTAATGATGATTTTTATCAAGCTTGTATATTTAAGTTCAGTAATTTCACTTAAATGGCAATGATAATTACCTATTAATTGTTATTTAAGTGAAATTACTGAACTTAAATATACAAGTTTGATAAAAATCATCATTAAAGAAGAAAATTTCAAATGGCATTTAGAGGCTTTTGCATCTGAACTCTTCATATATTACACATTGTGAGCATACAGCTGTAGAGTAATCCCTTGAGCTGAGGGTAGGCTTGGGCGATAAAACTGTTATCGTCAATAATTCTTGTTATGTTTGGGTACTGAAGATGGCATCTGTGTAATACCAGCAAGAACACATCGTTTCAAACTGTCAGCAGCGTTCTGTGTGCTCGTCACCTTGTAAGTTCATTCTTGCAAGAACAACTAGCGAGAGCGTTCTCCCCAAGAACACAAGTCTGTCCGTTCTTTGCATTCTTGGTTTTGAGAAACACCTTAATTCTCTAAGGAAGAGAGGGCTAGCGAGGGCTAGGAAGAGGCGAGCGAAGACGGGAGAGTATTTATGAAGAACTTCAGAAGAGATAAATCTGAGAAGTCAGCATCCCTATCACAGTCGTCGTCACAGTAAGGAGAAAAAAAGGGTTAAGGAAAAACATTTATTTCCTATGGTGGAATGCTAAGTTCAGAGTTCGAGGTTTATTTCCGAATTAAAGATTAAACTTGAGATTATTAGCATTGTTGAGACATGGTTGAAATGATCTGAATTTTGTTTTAAATGGGTATGTGAGCGAAGTGATAGGAATGAATGATAGTAGTGGCTGTGGATGTGCTATTTTATTAAGGTGGGGGTTCCCTACAGAATTTTAGGTAAAGGTGTAGGATTAGAATATTTAGTTACTGAGGTTTTGTGTGATAATTGTAGTTTAAATGTTGTAAATTTTATAATCCTTGAAGAACTTATGAATAGGAAAGGATTGATGTGTTTAAATGATGGGTCGCCTACTCGTATTGGGGTGAGGGTGCAGTCAGTATTGGATCTGACTTTAGTTTTTCAGTCTACTGCAGGTCAAATAATATGGGAGGTGTATAGTGAGTCAACGACTGGAAGTGACCACTATCTGTAGGATTATGTGTAGGATGGGTAGCAGGAGCTCAGCTGCAATATGAACCAGTGTTTTTCTGAAAGAAGGAATTTTAATAAAGCTGATTGGATAATGTTTACATTTATAAGTGATAGGAATATGGGTGAAGTTGAAGTGATAGATGATGTGGATGAATTTACTGGAAGTGTTAGTATAGCTATGGTGGAAGCTGCAAAAGTTTCGATTGCCGAGTCGAGGCTGGGAGGTAAGAAGCAGAAACTGGTACCCTGGTGGACAAATGAATGCACACAAACAATAAGCAGTAGAAATAAAGTGTTTAAAGGTTTTAAAAATAGTTTAAGTTTTCAAAAGTATTTAGAATATAAAAGAGAGCAGGCTAAGGTGAGGTGTTGTCCTGGCCCTCAGGATATGTTCAGGAGCAATGAGAACTTCCCCTACTGTATATCAGCGCTTCAGGTTGAAGTAGGTGAAATTCCATTTGAGTTGAGGGGACTACAAATGTCATTGTCATATTATGTTCATTTAAAACGGCATAGGGAAGACCATCCAACTAAAAGTGTCCTCATTTCAACAAAGGAGCAGGCAAAAAGTGAGAGAGTCATTTAGAGCAAGTATACATGAAAAGGTAAAAGAAGCGGCTGTAGAAAAGTTTGAAATTAGTCCATCTGTAGTCTATCCACCATACCCACCATGGATGATAATGCTTCCAGACGTTGATATAACTTTGCATGAAAAGATTAAAAATTATGAGGGGGATAGTGGTCAAATGGCTATGAGGTTTGTGAATAACTATTATGGGTAGGCCTATGTGCAAATCTTTACTGATGGGTCAAAGCAACCAGAAACAGGGAAAGTGGCAATTGCGTATGTGATACCAGAGTTTGATATTCATTTTTCGGCAAGAGTTTCGGATCATTTGTCAGTGTACTCAGCAGAGCTGATAGCAATTGTGATGGCGTTTCAGTGAGTAGAACAAATTAAACCACTGAGAGTAGTTGTGTGTTCAGATTCTTTGTTAGCCTTAGAAAATTTTAAATTAGGTAATACGAGTGAGAGGCATGGTATTGTTTGTGAGATCTTGACTTTGCTTCATAGTATTTAAAATGGGGGGACGCATGTAAAGTTTGTTTGGGTCCGGCCCATGTAGGTACTGTAAGGCTTTGAAAGCAAATATCAAATATTTAAAATATCAAAATCAGAAGCTAAGTCAATGATTAAAAAACATCTAAAAAAGTTGTGGCAAGATAAATGAGATAGGGGAGATAAAGGGAGGGGTTTTACATTATAAATCCTGAAGTTGGTCAGGGTCGTCTGGTAATAAGATGTCGAAGAGAAGAACACATTTTTACAAGAATGAGAATAGGGCACACTGGACTAAACAAAACATTACTGCTAATAGGAAAACATAAGTCAGGACATTGCGAGATATGTAATGTGCCAGAAACAGTGGAACATGTTTTTATGATGTGTAAGTCAAGTCAAGTCAAGTCACATTTATTTATATAGCGCTTTTCACAATACAGATTGTATCAAAGTAGCTTCACAGTGATAACATGAAAGTAGTACAACACAGATCAATAATATTGTTAAATATTAAATATTAAATAACCCCAACTAAGCAAGCCAAAAGCAAGGCAAAAGCAAGGCGACAGTGGCAAGGAACCAAAACTCCATCAGATTGGATGGAGAAAAAAAAAAACCTTGGGAGAACCCAGGCTCAGTCGGGGGCCAGTTCTCCTCTGGCTAACATTCATAATATATAAATATTAAATATAAATATTGTTGGTAACACTTTACAATAAGGTTCTTTTATTAAACATTAGCTAATGTATTAACTAACGTGAACTAACCATGAATAATACATTTGTTACTGTTTTTGTTAATCTTTGTTAACGTTAGTTAATACAAATCCAGCTGTTCAGTTTGTTCAGTTCACAGTGCATTAACTAATGTTAACAAGATTTGTAATAAAGTATTAGTAAACGTTGAAATTAACATTAACAAAGATTAACAAATGCTGAAGTAGTATTGTTCATTCTTAGTTAGTGTTAACTAATGTAGTTAACTAATGAACCTTATTAAAGTGTTACTGAAATTTAATAGAGAAAGGGTTTTAATTAAAAGGAAAATAGAGGGTAGTGGGGAAAGGTTTATCTTTAGATATATTTTGTCTAAGGCTTCCGATTATAGAATAATGTTTTTTTATTTTATTTATTTATTTTTTTTATTTTATTTAGGCTATATGTTTTTTTTTTTTTTTTGTAAGCCATAGTGATATCAAGCACAATTTATCTGGAGGGTGGCGGTAGTGCGCTAAGTTAGTCCGCATCCGTTAAGCAGCCAAAGAAGAAGAAGAAGAATAACAAGAAGATCGCTCTGGTTGTGATTAATACAGCCTGGATACATCGTGGCTTCATCTGCTGTCTCCATCAATAAGTACAACAACACGGTGAACACACACGAATCGTGTCATATTCCTCTCTGTTAGATCTCTGTGTAAATCATGGCTGATGAAGAGTTGGAAGCCATTAGACGGCAACGTATGACCGAACTGCAGGCGAAACATGGGGTAAGAGAAAAAAGGAGAACGACACAACCAAAATATCGCGTTTTGTAGCAGTAAATTGAACAGCAAATTGTAAAGCCCTTATATGAGTGAAATCAGTCTATATCATTCGTGTTTTTATTGCCTGGGCCACACTAAAGTCCACCTCGTTCTCTTATCTGTTCTCGTTCTCGAGCTGTTTTGTTTAATATTTTTGTCTCATTCTCGAGCTGTTTAGTAAACGGACACCAATTTGTAGCCATTGAGCTAATCAAGTGTGAAATAATACAGGCTAAAATACTATGATATAATTCAATATATATATATATATATATATATATATATATATATATATATATATATATATATATATATATAATTATTCATGGGCTTCAGAGCTTCAGTTACAAAGAGTTATTTTTTTTATTTCAGTGGAGAAAACCATCTGATTAGTTATCATCATATTAGTTAGCAGCATCAAGCGACAGCTAGCCCTCTGAAATATTCACCCTAAAAATGCGTTCATTGCAAAAATATAAGTTTTGTATCTTTATTTCTAAATGTTAAGGGATACTTAACGTTACCAGAAGCAACCATAACACATTTAAAATGTCCTTAAAACAAGAAGTTCAATAGTTAGTCAGTCAGTCCTGACATACATGGACGATTAACAGTCAAATTCCTTACATGGTTTCTTTTCTTAATTCATGTTTCATTTAGATTAAAAGTACCAACTGGAATAGAATGATGAAACTAATGAATAGAATGATATGTGCAAATTTTACATATTCCCTTTTAGGACCATTCCAGTGACCAGCAGGGGCAGCAGGAGGCCAAACAGAGGTACAACAAACAACAATAATAACAAACAAAAGTTTATGTGTTTCAGATGAAATTGTTTTAATAATTATTGGTCTTTGAGAGAAAAAAAATGTACTTACTGTTACTCAAGATCAGAAGGTCTCTTAAATTAGCTAGCTTATATAGTTAAATGTAGCATTTTTTTAATGAAAAAATTGAAAAAAAAACTCAATTTATTTTAAGGGATACTCGACCATTTTTTATATTAAACTGTTATTCCCTTTACTGAGACGAGTTGATGCATACTTCTCTTGTCTTGTGCGTGTACTAAATCGCTCTGTCTTGCACCAAAACTTTGTTAGATCCTAGCTCAGTTCATTCATTAGGATCCAAGCAGAGAAGTGACCAATACCTCCACGTTTTCGCTATTTAAATATAGTTACACGAGTGGAGAATGGTGACAAAATAAACGTTGTGCTTTTCTAAGCGTGTAAAGTGAACCACTTAACTGTCACCGTCCCACAGGTGGGACGTTTGCCACTATATTTTTAAAACAATAATATCTTAGTAAATACCTTAAATAATATTGACAAACTATATATCATTTGAAAGCTTACAATCTCTAGTTTCCATATTTGGTGACTGATTTTCAAAATATATTACAGAGGAGCCATAATTTATCAATATAAAACAAGAATATTTTCATACTCATAAGGCGTGTTCAGACCTTTATTTTAAAATAGCAGTAAACATGAAAAATCATGAAAAAATGGTAGATACCTCAGTTTGTTTTCATGACAAAACTTCAAAAGATAGAATCCATTCTATTATTTAGGAAAAAAAGGTCTGAAAAGTTTGAAACATCAAGAAAAAAATAATAAATTCACCATTTGTGACGTGGCAGCTAGCTATGACTTACATGCGTGTTCTTTGTATGTGTTTCTTAGAGGTTCAATTCATATCAAAATCTGCCAAACTTCCCATGCTACTTCTGAATAGGATCTCTACTTCAGAAATTGTATGAAAATTGTGAAAATAATGGTTCATATCACTCAAAACAGGAATGGAAATGCAGGCGCCCTTATATGGGCAGTAATGGAGTCTGATTGTGCCCTAGTGAAAAAGTTTGGTACTGCGCCCAAACAAAATCTTACTGAAAGCTCATTTTTTGAGATATCAACCTAAAATTTGAAACACAACTTGTTCAGATTTTTGGCTTTGATCTTTCTGACATTTTAGAGTAGCCCAGGTTTTGAAAATATATATTTTATGTAAAATATGAATTATTAATATTTTTACATTGTACATTTCCATAAACTCAAACTTCTATAACTTTTTTTCTTTTTCACTTTCTTAATTTATTTCACTTCTACAAAAATCTGCCAAATGTCTTCTTTAAAACAAGACCAATCATATGTCTATATTCCAAAGCATTCTTGAATTACAACCATTTAAGTTCGAAATGTGCATTTTCATGTCTATTCAAAAAAGGGGGGGTGACAGTTAACAGGTTAACTGTAATGTATGGCGGAATACCACAGCAAGTGCTTGGGAGCACTGTGACTCAGAGCACTAATATCAGTAATATAATCACTCGTGAAAAATCCTCTCTCCCTCACAGGAGTGATGATATTACTACGCCTAGTCCATAGATATGTATTCGCCGAGTCAAAGTGCTCCCAAGCAGTTGCTATGGTATTCAGTCATACATTATAATTATCCTTCACACGTTTAGACGTTGTAAGCTCGACGTTTTATTGTGTCACCATCCTTGGTCGAGTGTCACTACTCGAGTAACTGTTTAAATAGGGAAAATGTGGAGGTGTTTGAAAAACTCTGGCAAATTGTGAAATTTTGTGTCAATACCCTGCCCTAACTTGAACAATGTAAAAACAGCACTTTAATTTTTTTTTTTTAAGATTTATATTTTTATATACAGTATAGATTGTGCTTAAAAGAAACAACAAAAAAATCTACATCTTATTCTTGTTTAAAAGCATTTACATAATATATATGGTGCGTGATTAAAAAGCTGACCTTGAAATTGTGGCGTTAAAGGCGACGTGAGACGAGGAAAAATTTGAGTGCACCTAAATTTTGTGCTGGTGTACCTATATAAAAAAGTTAGGTGCACCAGTGCAACCAAGGCAAAAAGTTAGTCTGGAGCTGTTTTAACGATGTATGAGGCACTGTGAGCTGACATCGCAGTCGCCTCTTGTCACTGCGACTGCATGATATGTGCAGTTATAGGCATAGACATGTAAGTTAGGTTATTTATTATGTCTATGGTTATAGGTATCTCCCCAAATTAGTTTTTGTCTTATATTTATATCATATTATGTTCTTATATTAGAATATCACATCAGTAAGAGTGCCGTCTTCCCGTGCAGGAGTGTGATATTTATGTTCTACATAAATCTAATAGTTAAATTTGAAATAAATTGACCCTTCGCTAAGCCCCGCCCTCCCTAGTTACTGTTGCTACGCCTGTCAAGCTTTCGCGGCTGACCCATCTATTATAGTGTGGATCCGGTGTCAGACATTCCCAATGAGATAATTAGTAATTTTCGGCGAACAAGTGAAATATCTGAGAGAGCAAGACAAAAGGGACTCTAGTATGCATTCGAGGGATATATTCACAACATTATATGCAACCGATTAGAGAATAATTTCTTAAAAAAAAAACAGTAGTTGTGAATGGGTCTCGCACATAGACGCTAGATCACGCCAATCATTTCTCCCCTTGGCTTTAAATTTTCTGGAAGGAAAACAATTCCTCTCCCCCGTCCAAACTTTTAGTATACCGATATCAGATTTGCACAATCCATACGCACAATGCTTCAGCATGTTTCCCTCGTTCGAAAGCTTGCCAGACCTCCTGCGCTTAGTTACGGTTGCTACAACATGATTGGCCAGTGGTGGTTTACGGGCGTGGCTTAGCGAAGGGTCAATTGACATTGTGAGTTAGTTTTTAGACATAATATTATCAATATTGTTTGTTTTCCCTTTATTTCGCCGACTAGAATTTTAAAATGAAAGTCTCAATGAGTCTCAGTGCAACAGACAGCAACGATTTCTTGAAGGAAATCCGCGTTTTGAACGAATCATTTTAACGATTCAATGAACAATCACTTGCTTCTTTCCTGAATGAAGCAGCCGTTTGAACAAATCTGTTGAATGAATGACTCCCTCAACTCGCTTGACGGTGATCAAGGCGGTGAATTGCCGCCGCCTACTGACGGTTTTAGTTTCATATTTAAAGTAAAACGTTAAAGTTAGAAATCATTTCACATTTAAATATTGAATATTGATTAAAAAAAACCTTGAAGCTTTATTTATGCAATTTATGTGAACTCACCACTGCATAGAAAATGAACAATATGAATATCTTTGGGAAGTCATCAACAGGCCTAAACTAAACTAGCCAGGGCACCAGCACAAAAACACAATCAGTAAAAATCATCTAATTATTAACAAAACGTTGAAAATATCAAGATATATTTTTGTCAATATTGCACACCCCTAATGTATGGTATTAATTTTGATTTCTTCACGACTTAAAAAGGTCTTAAAAAGCCTTAAATTTTATTTATAAATAGTGTGCAGGAACTAGGGATGGGTACCGAAACCCGGTATTAAACGGGCCCCGGTACTGAATTTTGAAAGACCGCTGTATCGATAAGCTCGGACGTTATCGGTTCTGCTGTCGGTACTGGAGAAATTAAGTAAATACACGTAAGTTGGGCTACTATTTATTATTCCTATAAAGAAGTTATCTTGAACATGTTTCGCCAGCCATTTCTATATATAAGCTATATTTTAATTAAACCATAGTCTGTGATGCAAATTTGCAATTCGCAGTTCAGAAGAGAGAGAGAGAGAAGAGAGAGAGCGATCTCTCACGCAAAGCCACAGCACGCGCAACACGACAGTGAATGCTTAATGATGAGTGACAATGAGGACAGAACTAACATTCAACGTGGTTACACTTTAGATCTGGGATATTATTCTAATATATTTTGTATTTTGGCTTCCAAAGATTATAAAAAGAAGATATTTGAGATTAAACCGTTAAAAAAACAAGACGATCTGTCCGGCTTAACTTCCTTTACTTCACAGCACTGCGGAGCGCTGTCAGTTCTTCCTAAAACCCAAACGTAACCGTCAGAATCAGCAACATCAGCGATTGTTTCAAAGTGCTGTCTTCTACTGTTGCAAGATCAAAAAATGGCTATTAAAAACACAAAAACCTGCGCAAGAGACGCTGTTCACAAGGCGGTGCACGCTCCGAAAGGGACTGCCTATACTTGGGCTCGTGCGTCCTTAACTATCAAATATACATAAAAATGTCAAAATGACCAGCTCTGAGATTAACTTAAACACAGTTTATTCACTTAAACACAATTATGTCTTAAATGGACGTAAATAATAGGGAGAAAATGATGGTGCATCAGTCCCCATTAGATCTGCAATCGGTCTTAAAGGGGCAGCAGTCTAATAGCCTAAACCTGCTGACGATTCAGACATTAATGCAAATCAAACAACAAAAGCCAGAGAAAATCACTCACAGCTTTTGAATGAGTAACTTTAGATTTAATAAGCATTATTCTATCTATGATAAACTATACAGTGCTATTTTATATTTGAGTTTCTTTTCAGATAGAAACAATTACCTGAAAAGATGTTACACCTTCCTGAAATTAAAGCACTTTGTGTATAATTTGTATCTTTGATTAATTGTATTCTTGTGTTTGTACTTGTTTTTTTCTTATGCATCCTTTTTGTATAAACAAAAAAAGCCTGCACACTGCTGCATAACAAAAATATATTTTTCTTTGTTTTGCTTTTTCTATTTTACATTTCAAAATATAAAGTTTAATTATGTTCTTAATTCTTAAAAAAAAAAAAAAAAACACCAAAAAGAACCGATAAGAATACCGTTAAAGTACCGGATCGATAAGCGGTATCGGTAAGAGTAGTAATACCGATAAAACCTTAACGATACCCATCCCTAGCAGGAACCCTGACGCACACACTGAAGC